AGCGAATGGCGCTGATTCTGGAGCCGAGTGCGAAGCCTTCGAAGGTTTGGTGGAAGGAGATGGCTATGAGGAAGACGATGAAGGCGGTGCCAGTGGCGACCGAGAGCGCCATACCTATGAAGACGGAGTGGAAGAGAATTCCAGCCTCGAGCAGTAAACATTGCAGGAGTAATTTCTTGTTCTGGGCTTCGGTTTTCTCCACATCTTCAGAGGATTCGCCGCTAGGTTGGTGGGCATGATTGTGGGCATGAGGGCCGGGCAGCAGGCGAGACTCGTCTTCTGAGTTCTCCTCATCTTGACGGGCGAGCTCTTCCCTGCTTATCTCAAGATCTGAGTCATTGTCGTCGTCAATCGACTTCCGGCTTATCGAATCATTAGGCGTCATCGGCGATGCCAGAGAGAAGGACGGTGATCGGCCTGCCATGAGATTGGCCGAAGATTCCACATCGTGCAGCATGATGCCCGGTATGTGGCCATTCGCTCCTGGTGTGCCGTTGCTGAACCTCCCATAGCTATGGCTTCTCTTGTGGCCCGGGCGCGCAGCCGCAGCGTGATCGTCAAGGCCTAGGTTTTCGTAGCCAGTCGAATGCGAATGGCCTGCTCCCCTCGATGCGAAGAACATCTCCACGCCCACTACTACAAAGACTGATGTCATGGCTATTAAGCCCGGCATGGCCGAGTAGCCCTTGTTCCAAAACGGGGGTAGACATGGGTCGGTGAGGGACTCGAAGGCGGTAGGCAGGAGATGGACGAAGGCAGTCGCGATCAGGACACCCGTGCCGAAGTGTCTAGATAGGAAGAGGAACTGGTGGGGAACGGGTATCGAAGGAAAGCGCTTGACGACCACGGGGAAGGAGCAAGCTGTGAGACGGTCAGCAGTGCATTGGAAGGTATGCGAAGAAACGTACGAACCCGCAGTGCTAAGTGTGAGTATTAAGAACAAGGCGAAGACATGTATGGGTGTGTTGTAGTAGCCCTTTGCTCCTTTGCTTCCGCATTCTGGTCGCTCATCGTTGTCCTGCTGTCTTCGGAGCAATTCCGCGTGGAGGACATGCGCAGGTATTTCCGAAAGGCCTATGTTACAATGACATGGTCAGTATACGAGCGCCACAGTCAGCAGAATAAGCAGCCATGTCCTACCTGCTAGAATGCCGTCTGCCTGCATGGCGGTGGTTGACAGAGCTTCCGAGCATCAAGGTACGCGCGGTTCCGTCGCGCTTGCCCAGTAGGTGCCGGGGTCCGGAGCCTCTATTGTTCCTCGGCCTTGCACCTATTCACGTCCTCGTCGGGTCCGCATTCCGTCAGATTCACTTCCTTTCGGACTGCAAACCTATTTGTACGTGTGTTCGGGGGTCCAGCATGCACTCTGGACAAAAAAGTATTTCCGAACGCGCCGAAAGCCAGGGGTGCGTCATACCTGGTATATCGCGAACCTCAGATGTCATGCTACCGACAATCGAAGATCTAGTATCCATACAAGGTCTGGGCCCACGCTTGAGAGTCTGCCTTGTATCATAGGAGACTACCGTGCCCCGGCTCCTGTTAGCATCGGTTGTGGCGTCTTTCATGTCCATCTCCAGTTTTCTGCACAGCAGGTCCTGTAAACATCACGCAACGTTAGCCACCGGCCATGGCCGGTGCTATTTTTGATCCTTCGGTAATAGCGATCCGCGAGCTCCATCGTCTACATATATAGACAGAGACCCTGCGTTGTTCACCGTGTCGTGGAACTATCTGGCGTACGGGTTTGGGACGGCGCAGCTGCATCATCATTCGAGAGATTGGCATCGGCGCAGGCACCCCGTCACACCCGACTTCGCTTCTGCAGCCTAACACGAATCGGGTCCTTGATAGTTTCACGTCTCGCGCCCCTCCATCGCCTCCAGTAACACCAAGGACGATACCGCCGCAGCCCAACGTCGTCACGGCACATGTCGGTACCAAAATGTTGACCCGCGAGCATGGACTGGGAAAGTCTGGACTAGTCACCACGCGCAACGTCGTCCCGGCTACACCCTGCTAAGCCCCACCATCTACATCCTCTCTGAACAGGACAATACGGCATATTGCTAGTTCTGTAACGGGAAGAACCGCTGGAGGGCCTGAAGGAGCCACCAAAGGGAGATCGGGTGGCTCTGACCGACAATGTCTGATCAGCGAGACTTTTTGTTCGTCGACGCAGCTCAAGCGAAGACGTCTCGCCAAGGTCGTCGCAATGCTCGTTCTTTTGTCATGCAGAACGCCCGCAGGAAAAACCCATGGTCAACAAGCAAACATGCTGCGAAGCAAAGGAAAACTGGAAGCTCAGAAAGCGCAAGTCCTAACAGTACATGTGCGTCTACGTCAAACAGGGCGACGCCAAGCCCTCCAATTGTTGCGAACAGGTCTGATTACTTTTCTTCCCCAGAGTCTGAAGATTATGCGATAGCGAAGAGGGACGTTTGCCCAGAGTGTCAGATCTTTCTGTGCCGCCCGGGTGAGGGATTCTGCCAAAGATGTTTGCTGGTCAAGCCTGCGGCGCCTGCAGAAGACCCAAATAATCAGCTTTTCGATCCTTTTCGGACTTCATCCGTCGAAGTAACCCGCAGCGTGTCGGAACTGTTGAAGCATTGTAAGTGGCTGTCCCTGCATCTCTCCTCCCATCAAGACATTCCAGGTCGCTGGGTTCGTGGCACGACAACCCTGTACAACGGCGTTGAGAGTGCGAAGTCTAGATTGCATCCGATTGCATGGCGCCAAACATGTCGATGCCTGGTGGTATTCGTTTTCGTACGCTGACATTAAATGTATAGTTTCCACGGAGATGGCGCCTGGCATCATCGCAGTCGACGTCCGGCATCGATCTACCCTGATGAAGTCGGACTGGTTCGGCACGGCGATAAGTAATCCAGGCTTCATGCATAGTCTGCTTGCTACGATCGCGCTGCACGCCTACGTGTTCGGAAAAGATACCATGGATGCCGTCTTGCACCATCGAGCACAGGCTATTGCTGCTGTCAATGCGGCGATACTGACACCGGATGGAATATCTGATGCGAATATTGGTGCTGTCTTCAACTTACTCACGATAGAAGAGGGTTTGCATCTGCCACAATTCGACCTGCACGAGGACCATGCAGTTCAACTCGAGATCCATCGAACGGGGCTGCAGAGAATGGTGCAGCTGCGTGGAGGACTAGGAGCAATCAAAACGAATCGCATCCTTCAAGCCTTTATGCTTTGGTGTGTAGATTCTACTCCCGCATTCTGCCCGGAACCGGTTTGGCATGTGCTTACTGAGCATCAGGCATTCGACGGCCCACGCTATCTACGATTTCCAAGCGCCAAGCCCCTCTACATTGGATTTCATCAGCACAGCAGGCTTTCCACGTCATCCACCAGGCTATCAATCGAGCATTTCCCAACATCTGACCGATTACTGTCGGAGTGCAGGCCTCAAAGAGTCGCTTAATGCCCTGGTGGAACTGGTACTTTCCCTGATTGCCGACCTGAATGTTTGGTTCAGTGACCCCGACAGCCCTCTAGACCCTCTCGACATTCAGAACTTCGCATGTGTCTTGGAGTGCTCTCTGCTAACATGGGTACGCAAGAACGAGCAATTCGTCACCCCTCTCGAAGACGCGCTGTGCGTTGCGCTACTCATCTTTACGGTGCGGACGACGGAAGCGTTTAAGCGACAGTCTCATGTTCATCTACTCCACTTTGCAGCCAGTAAGCGGCTAGAGAAAGCTCTGAACTGCACCATTCGTACCGAGTGGCAGCATTGCCCCGACCTTCTACTCTGGATACTCTCTATCGGTGCGATATCAGCGGAACCATCACCCGATAGCACATGGTTCGTGTATCAGACTTCACTCGCTTGTGCAGAATTCGACGTCCTATCAGCGGAAGCGCTTCTCGAACGACTCCATCTCTGCGGCTGGGTCAGCTACAAGCTCAACGACGCTGTGTGTCAGTTATGGGCCAGGGTTGTGAATCTCAGGTTAGATGACCGTACATTCTTGCCTATGCATTCGCTTGCTTATACTTGAGTTCTTCTTGTACGTAGGCTCGCGCCCTTCTTCGAAGCGCCCCTGAAAGCTGAAGACGCCAACAGCCCTGTTGGGCCGCTGCAACACCACGTTGCCGAGCCCGATCTCAACGCTTGGGAAAGCATCGACTGGGCTGCGCTCAATTTGGGTCTCGACGATCATAACCAGGGGCACGCAAACAACCCTGGCGATGGAGGCGCAACAGCAGAGCCTTGCGGTTTTGGAGTATCAGAGGATTCATCGCATCCTTTGGGCGGTGGCTATGGGTTTACTTGTATGTGCAATTTCGAGCGCTCTCAACTTTTACTAATACCCGCATTGCTGGGTGCTAACCTTCGTGGCGAACACGCAGGGCCTACGACGCAACATCCTTATGCGCACTGGATGAACGGATCGCAAAACCATCACGAACAATGAGGAAGACTTTCGGATGCTTTGCATGCTCGACTGTGAATGCATACCTCTTCACTTGGTCACTTGATCTCCAATACTATAATCCACAAATACCTCAACGCCGGCACGGCTACCAAGCCTGTCGCAGCAGCCTTGGTCGGTGTGCCATGTAGCCTAGACTATGTCCAAATGTAGTCGTTTTGAGGAGGATCGTACTGCTCGCTAAAGAAATGATACGGAAGTGCAAAGATGCGGAAAACTTGGCCTACGTGGAAGAGCATTGAGGGACTGAGGTTGCTGGGGAACAGCAGAGTTCTAGCATGGTGCTGAGTATCTCAATACACTAGAACTCGGGTTAAGGGAGACGTCATACAGGAACAGATGGAACAGATGTTGACAGAATCACAAGGCAATGTGCACTTCCAAATTAACTGCTTTGTATGGGGTATTCATTGTTCCCCGTGAATGGGGTGGACGAATCCAGTCTCATCCCCTTCAGCCCTTTGAGGGCTATCATGTAGCTGAGGATCTCATACAACTATGTACATCCAATCAGTCTAATAAAGACATCAATGCCTATACTTTCGCCAGCTTAATAACAAGCTCAATCCCCGCCTCAGCAAAAGTCCCACTAACAACCCTCGGTGGCCTATACGCCTCAAACGCCCCAGAAATCTTCCCTGTACCCCCAACACCCACCACCTCCGTCAGCCTCAAACACATGAGCTCCGTCAAAAACCCTCTACCCGCTAATTTCATCTCCGCAAACTGGCTTATCCAATTCAACCCCTTAATCGGCAGCGCCTGCGGCAACCGCCTAAACTGCGCCCGCGCCTCGCCCGTCGCAAAAACCGCCTCTGCGGGCATCGGAAACTGGATTTCCAACTCGCGGACAGAGGGGGGAATGTGGGTGTATGCGGATGCGGCGCAACGGTCCTGTTTCTGCCAGATCCATGTTTTCTTTGCGGAGTTGGGGAGGTCGATGAGGGAGGTGTAGAGGAGGGATGAGGTCACGCGGAGGATCTGGAGGTTTTTGAGGAAGGTGAAGGAGGGGGTGAAGGGCGGGTAGGGGTGGTCTTTGAAGTTTGCGGAGGGGGGTTCGAGGAGGGAGAGTTCGAGGAGGGTTGAGGGGAGGGATGGGAATGCGTTTAGGACGTCGATGATGGTCTGGGGTGTAGGGGGTGTGGGACGAAGCCATGGGGGTATGATGTCCCTTTGCCAGGCGTACAGGCAGTTGAGGGTTAGGTCCAGTGACTCCATCTTCTCAGTTTGGCGTAGCAGTTTGCCCAGAGCAAGAGGGCTGATTTGGAAAGTCCCGGTGTTGAAGTGTGTGAGGTTAGGGATGGAACCATATTCGCGCTCGCGCTCGAACCAGTTGTGGACAATGCGGGTTGGCTTGATATCGGACTCGGGGCTTTCATGCCAGGACGCCGGGGTGTCAATCGAAAAGTCTTTCAGAGTAGGGATCTGGATGAGTTCACGGAGGATCCTCAACGTCGGTGTCTTCAAAGTGACGGTCTCGATGGGTTCATCTTCGAGTACGGACCAGAGTTGCTTCATGCATATGTTCTGGTAAGCATTCCATCTCGAACCCTTCAACCGGTCTTTGACCGTTACCTCGATGCTTCGCACGTTTGGTAGTTTATCGAAGATGGTGGTGGCTTGCTCGTGGACGAAAAGCGGTAGGCCCCACTCGGCGTCTATCCGGACGTGGCGTACATGTTCTGCCAGTTCTGGCGCCTTCTCGATGGCCTGGAGAAACAAGGCAATCTTCTGCTGCCGAGCCGCGACATTACCGTAAGCCTCGTGCTCCCTGTACTCTATTGGGATCTGATAGTCTTCTAGTGGCAGGAAGACCGGAGGTAGTAATGGCTTGGGTTCCCGTCGATACCGCAGCGGCTCTTCATCCGGATCTGTACGATCCTGGGGTGTCGGTAGGTGGCTGACTTCCGCAGCATGCCCGCCTTGAACGAATGGAGGGGCCAGGGTCGATTGTACAGGGAGGTCAATCGACTGGAATAAGAGGCGTTGGGCGGATTTGTGGAAGACTCGGTGCGTCTTGATCAGACTCAGCAGATCTTTTTGATCTACATCCTCGAAGATTTGGTCCAAGATGTCGTTTGACAGCGCGGTGATTATGGGTTTGGACATGTTTCTGGAGACTGAAACGGAGGTTTCTGGAGGGTAAGATTGGGTAGTGGGCGGAGTGGAGGGGTTGCGGTTGCGCTGATGTTGATTATCCCATGGAGGGGAAAGGGGACTTAAGTAGCTACTCGGGGTAGGGTTTGCCCGTCATTCACACGACGCTTAGTAGTTACTAGCTGAACGCCCTCACTGTAAAAGTGGTGAATGTAAAAGTTGTACATTTGTGTGAAGCGATGTAAAGGTTCGTCGTTGTAGTCGCCCCTTTTGTTGTGATTGTGACTCCGGTATCTGCAGGTCCGCAAGGTGAATACTCATTGTGTAATGTATGAGGCTGATGCGTTGAGAGATGCCAAAAGTTGCATTCGTTGACTATCACGTTGCCTGCACATCAGCTCCCGGCCCCGCCGACTTGAATTCCGTCTTACCCCTAATCTGAATCGTCAATTCGATCCCCCTATCCGCAAACGCCTTCTTCAATACCTCAGGCGGGTCCCAATCCATCGGCTCCGCACACCTGACGACCCTACCCCTATCACTGACCACATATTTCAGCTCCAGCACTTCCACCTTCTTCAAACAAGGAAATTGCGAAGGATCAGCAGCGGCAATTTCGTATATCCAGTTCCAACATGGTCTCATTTTCATTTTGATTTCGTCGGACGTCATGCGGGAGCTCAAGAAGGCGGCACGGTATCCATCGCCCACAGCGAAAATGGCCGCGCTACCACTAAAGTCTACTCGGAGCGAGGAAAGCGATGGGGGCAGTAAATGGACGATGGATGGGCGTACGTTTTCGCCTTTCCATAGAAAGCCCTGGCGACCCTGCATGGCCGAGTCCGAGAACCAACAGCCAGACGATATGTGTAGTCTTTTGAGGGCAGTGAGACCGGAAAACGGCATGAGAACAGGGATCCAGTCGCAATCCCATGGACTCTTTTGGTCCTCCAGTATCGTGAAGTCGGTAAGAGTTTCTGTTGCATAGAGCAAGCGCTCGGCCAAGGCGGCGAGGGTATTTCGTTGACACAAGTATATCTTGACGTCGAATTCTCGGAGTGTGATGTTTGGGTATTGTTGTGCGATGATGGGGGAAGCGCGAAGTATGCAGTCGTTGATGATGAGGCTAAGACCGATTTTTCTTGCCGGCCGAAGTGAGTTGAGCATATTCATGAGTTTCGCATAGTCTACCACGGCTCCGCACGTTTTCTCTACGAAATTTTCGATATGCTCCTGCTTGGGACTGTCGGGGAAGGGGCGGGCGTTGATTTTGAGCGTGACATGTTGGACCGCTGGAAGGAAATTTAGGATTTCCTGCGTTGTGTTTTCTAGTCGGAACTGTGCCCGGCTGTCGAAGACGAGGTCAAGATAGCGTATGGGCCCAATGGCATTACCAGACGGTGTGTGGGCCAGACAAAGCTCTTCGAGAAACTCCATGCACGCTTCGTGTGCACCATTTCCGCGGACAAGGACTCTTCGAACGCTGTTGCGTACTGTGTTTGCCGCTGGAGCGAGCTCTGGATAGGCCTTGCTAACATTTTCGAGCGTTTCGTGGTCGTCTACAAAGTACTCGAATATGGATGTGAGGATTTCGGTGGGTATTGTGGTGATTTTGGCGGTCGCCATGTTGTTCGTCTGTGAGGGTGGCTACTTAGAGAAGACGTCGGATTTCAACAAGTTGAAAACATTTCTGAGGGTGTCCTGCAGCATATTATGCCGTGACTATCGGATGTTTCAAGAGAATCCGTCGATGTAGGTGCCTAAGTACTTCATGCACGTGGAGGTTGACGTGAGGCGGGATGCGCTGCTGACTAGCGTCATGGGCCGCGGTTACCTCTTTTGTTCACCGCGCAGAATCTAGCGCTGGCTTGTGAGCACGTAGTGTAATTAGCATCACTGTTTTGGTTCGAAAAGCGAGGTCTCACTTGCTTCAGACATCTTGTGTTCCATGTATCTATTCGCTTGCTATCAAAATCGCTTAGTATATGCTACATAATGTGCCAAAAAGCCTCCCTGAGTGGGACTATCGCGCCTGCAAAGCTGTAGATTATACTATCTACAATGTTAGCAGTTCAATCCAGAACTATAGCCTTGTCGCTACTAGCAACTATCCATGTATAGCCCATTCTCCCCGCCTGCCAAATGCTGTGTTGAGAGACCCCGCTATGCTCTGATAGGTACTGTGTGAGCGAGATTACACCAAGACGAAAAGTTGCTCAGGATATGGATGGGGAAACGCCGGAATGTGGAAAAACAGAAAAGTGCCGTGAGGATCGGGTACAAAACGGAGGGTATGGTAGTCGTAATTGGGCGTGAGAACGATGGAGAAATCTGGGTGACAACAGGACCGCGTCTATCGGCCACCTGCTTCGAGCTGTCCTGGAGTTGGCTGCTGCGAGACAGGGGTTTCTCCAGTGGCACCGGTGCCACGGTTGCGGCCGAACCAGCTTGAGAAGCCAGGGCCTTGAGTTCGGTTGAGCGCCATCCTCGATCGCCATCCTTGGTTCTCGCCAGTCTGCCCTGTCGCTTGGGGCGCGTTCCCAGCCACGCGCTCGCGGCGATTAGGCCGATTCAGTCGCCCGAACCGATCACCACCCTGTCGCTGCTGGAAGTCTGAGTTGATGACCATGACGCGAGACCGAGAGAATGGGTTGGTGGAAGTCCAGACTGCCTGCGGTGGTGACCTAAGACCAGCGACTGAGCGGCGACCAGTAAGGGGATCAACTTCGCCTTCAGGACGGGGCTTCGGAACGTAGTAGTCGGCTTTGCAGAGAGGGCAGCAGGCGCGGCGACTCGTAAGCCATGGGTCGACACAGCTGGCGTGGAAGGCGTGGCCACAAGACAGTCCACGTACATCGTCGTCATCTTCCAGTGTATCCAGACAGATGGCGCACGTGTCTCCCGGCTCGGCCAACATCTCGGGTGCAGCGGCAGTGCTGATGGGATCCTCTTCGTCGTCCGAATCGTCCTCGCGCTCGCGCACGTTGGCCTGGGGTGTACCACTTTGCCCTTGAACGTTGTCCGTCTTCTCCGAGTTCAACTTGTCATCGACCTGCTTCTCAAGGTCTTGCACGTGCTGACTTTTCCTGCTTTCGACACTTGTTCTCGGGGGAGCGACTGGGTCGGCGGAGGAGGCTGGGGCGTTGAGGTCGTTGCGGGCCATGGAGAGGGCAGTATCGGTTCGCGGTCCTGGACCTTCGTCCTGGGCACTGATGACACCTTCGACATCCTTCAAGCTTGCTGCTCTGCTCTGGGGTGCCGTCGCAATGCCGCCGTTAGCTGGCAAGCCCTCGGTCTCGCGACTTGACTTCCATTGCTTATACTTGGTCAGTGGGAACCGCTCGTTGACCTCGTCCATGGTCATCAGCTTCTTCTCCCTCCTCCTCCGGTGCGGGCGAGGCATGTTGGTCATGTCGATTGGCTCGCCATCAGCAGCAGCCTGGGCCGCGCGACGGCGATTGTATCGGAAGCAGTACTTAACACCAACGATAATCCTGAGCGCAGTCAGTACGAGGAGCAGCAGCCGAGCCAACTGCCATTGCCTACCATAAGTTTGTAAAGACGACACCGAAACCCAGGGCAACGAAAAAAAGCAGCGGCGAACTGGTGGGCCCGTTGCTGTTGTTGTTGCTGCCGCTGTTGTTGGCGCCGTCTGTTGGGGTGGCCTGCTGCCGCGGGAAGAGCACAACGTTGGACATGGTGGGCTGCGACGAGTCTGCTATTCCATACGTCGGTATACTATTGCGCTGTCGTGGAGGACACCGAGTCAGCGATGCGCGAGTGAGGCCGGATGCGGCGAGCCTTGCTGGAGGTGAAACGGATCAGGAGGCGACTGGACACGACGGCGACAGAGTATCTATCGCGCGTGGAGTGGTTGCGATAAGTTGGAGGTGGCGGCGGGAGGGCTAAGGCAAGGGCCGGAGAAGGTGATGAATCGGTGATGGTGACGGCAACGACTGCGGGCGTGGCGATGGAGAGTCGGGTCCCTAGAGGCTGTAGTCGTTCGCAGTGACTGCCCGTGCCACAATCGCTAGCGGTGAATTGGGAACGGATCGTTATCGGCCATGCGATGCGAAGAGGGCTGGTGGTCAAGCAACAGACTCGGCGGGATGGTCAGGGAAGGGCAGTGAATGCGAGTGCGTGGCCGAGGGCTGAACGGGGGAGGTGCCGGTCTTCAGGCGGATAAAGGCCGCAGAGGCGTCGCTAACGTCGCCGGCAGGTGCCAAGGATGACCGGCAACCAGGCCCATCAATGATGACAGTAGACGGTTAATGGTACGCCAGTGTGGCGTTTGGGGCAGTGGCGAGTGGTAGATATGAGGTTGTTTGTATAATGAGGGGGAGCGTCGTGAATGCGCTGGGTCTTGCTTGCGATTCCACCATGCACATGTCACAGGCGCTGTCCGCGCAATGCACCCCGAAGCAGGGTTTCTGCTTTGGGCCGCATGGATGCCGTCGCATGCAGGTGCTATCACACTGTAAAATTGCTGACAGCCTGATGCGGTGATACATAATCAACACGACTGCATTCACTCACTACTACACAGTCTCAGTCTCACGTCGCAGGACCAGAGTACACGGGCAGTGTCGCTAGACAGCCGTCTGCTCACTATTGCGTAGACATGTCGGATCCCTGCCCTTCCGGTGGAGTCTTCCCCGCTAGCAAACTGCGCGTATCCACATGAACATTGTCCACCACTGGCAGCAGCCCGACTCCCCTGCTTCTGCACCATTGTCTCTGCTCGGCATATCTTGGAACCATCTGGACGGAACGCCTTTTTCACTTACCGTGTGACTCCCTCGATCACCACTGCCAAAGCCCGTCCAACGTCACTAGTCCGCTCTTCAAGCACTGCACTGCCGCACCCATGGCGGAGACTGCCGAGCCCAACCCAATCGTCTTCTTCGACATCACCCTAGGAGGTATGCATCCACCCATGTGACCCAGTAGTGGCTACCCCTCACCCCGCACCATCTGCTACGCGTCTTTCTTGGCCTAGCCCACAGTTGGGCAAACGCCCGCGACCCGACCATGGTGACTGACATAAGCGAACAGGGGAGAAGCTGGGGAGGATCAAGATGGAACTGTTCAGAGATGTAGTCCCAAAGACTGCTGAAAACTTCCGCCAGTTCTGCACGGGCGAGACCAAGAACAGCCGGGGACAGCCGCAGGGCTACAAAGGCTGCAAATTCCATCGCGTCGTAAGTAGCATCACAGTGCACTGTCTTTCACATGCTAAGTGAACATAGATCAAAGGGTTCATGATCCAAGGCGGCGATTTTGTAAATGGCAACGGAACTGGCTCAAGAACTATCTGGGGGACTGAGAAGTTCGCCGATGAAAACTTCACCCTGAAACACGACAAGCCCGGTCTTCTATCCATGGCTGTAGGTTTTCACAGCTTATATGAAATCCTCATACTAACTATTGCAGAACTCAGGTCCCAACACCAATGGTTCCCAGTTCTTCATCATCACTGCGAAGAATGGCACCCCTCATCTGAACGGCAAGCACGTTGTCTTCGGCAATGTCATCGAAGGCATGGACGTTGTCACCAAGATCGAGAATACGCGAACAGTAGCCAACCCGGAGGGAAAGCCAGTGCAAGACATTGCCATTTCACAATGCGGTGAGATGTGAGCTCGTAGATCATACAACAAAAAAACGCCAATCCTCGAGGTAAGATCTCAGGTAGGATTTAGAGAATCTATTATAAGCCTGAAACGCATTGTTTGATCAAACGAAGCGCGAAGAAGAACAGTGCGTGGTGGGCCAGCGCGAGTAACCAGTCTGTATCGACTTCGCGACGCTGTGGTTATCCAATCCTGATACAGGCAAGCGATGGATAGGAAACTAAATACATTTCTACGATTTCAAATGAATCGCATCATGCGTTGTTGCAGTGATTGGGTGTTGGATCGGCGAACCATGGTGAACTACTGGCTTACCTAAGTGACCCGCTGAAATTCTCTCGGGCTCAATACTTCGCAGCACAGTCGCGTGCGTTCACCCCCGCTGTCCTCGCTGCCAATTTCACCAGCCCACCGACGGACGACAATCTCCCACACCTCACGCTCCTGCTCAGATGTAAACCTTTCGCCAACCACATTGCCCACAACATGGTCGCTCTTGCCACAATGAACAGGACTCTCGGCACCGCCGCCCCGACCGCGGGTGGCAGCCTCAAACGCAAGCAAATCGACAACTCGTCCGACACCGAGAACGCGACCCCAGACACGCTCAAACGCCGCCGAGTCACTTTCCACCCCGAAGTCAACGTGCGGATACTGAGCGAGCACCACGAGAAGAGTCTGGAGCTGGTGGGGGAGGAGGTGCGGCGCGCCATCGAAAGGCATGCGACCGGCGACAAGGCGGCCTACGATGGGCTCAAAGCCCTCTTCAAAGAAGCACCAACGTCCACAGGTGCACCGCTATCGCGACTTTTGCAAAAATACCTCATCGCACTCACCGAACACACGCCAAAACTCGACGGCAACTGCAAGGGCCTGGTGCATGCCGTCATCGATTGCAGTTGGATAGCGCGTAACGAAGACTTCCTGCGCTCCTACCGAATGTTCCTGCGCAGGCTGCTCTCGGTGCAGTCGAGCTACATGTCGACCGTGCTACAGATGCTGGTCGACATGTTCCTGAGTGCGCCTTCCGTCAACGCCAGGCAGCAGGACGACCCACCGATCCAAAGAGTCCGCCTACAAGCACGCGTACACGAGACCCTCGTAGGCATATTACAGTACAGTCCGATGGCGAGTTCCTTCCTCGCGCCCGTCATCTCTAGCACCTTCCCCTTCTCCAACGACACCGCAAAGGTCCACGTCGAGTACATCCGGAACATCTTCAAGGTCACAGAGTACGCGCCGGAAATCAGAGGCGAGATCTTGGCACTCGTGACGGACAAGCTATGCAAGATCGACGCGCAGATGCAGGTAGACATGGAAGAGATTGACGACGACTTGGAGGAGCGACTTATGGACGGGGCCATCAACGATGAGGAAGACGACGACGACGACGTGAGCGATGACGGCTCCGAATCGAGTGAGGAGAGCCTCGACCCGGAAGAGCAGCGACTCAAAGACATCAAAGACATGATGCTCAAGCTCGACACCGTCATGGACGTGCAGTTCTCCTACTACGACTCCGTTTTCGAACGGAACGACTATCAAGAGATGGATCGCACCTACCAAACCCTCATCGCGCAGTTCCAGTCCATCATCATCCCGACCTACCGCTCACGGCATACTCAATTCGTGCTCTTCCACTTCAGCCAGATCTCGACAGAATTCATGGGGCGGTTCATAGACACCTGCTCGCACCTGGCTATAGATAAGAACCGACCCCCGCTACTACGCTCAGCCGCATGTGCCTACCTCGCCTCCTACATCGCGCGCGGCGCGCACGTTCCTGGCTCCATTGTTCGCGACGTCTTCGACACACTATGCTCCCAGCTTGAGGACCAGCGAAAAGCACACGAGCCCAAGTGCATCGGCCCAGACCTACGCCGCTACGGCACATACTACGCCATCGTACAGGCACTGCTATACGCCTTCTGCTTCCGATGGCGCGATCTCATCGTCACACCCGACGGCACGTTGCCCACCGACGCAGACATCATGTACCACGAAGGCGACTTCCAGTGGCACCGGTCGACCCTCGAAACCATACGCCGCAACATCTTCTGCAAGCTGAACCCACTCAGAATCTGCGCACCGGAAATCGTCAAGCAGTTCGGCCGCATCGCCAAGCACCTCCGCTTCACATACATCGATACGCTGGTAGAGACAAACAAGCGTGTACGACTGTCCCGCAGTCTGGCCAGTGGGTACCTCAACGGTATCGGCGGCCGAGAGACTGCTCTCACAAGCAAGAAGGGCGAGGAGGCCTTCCTCCTGGACGCATACTTTCCCTTTGACCCATACGTGCTTCCACGGAGCAAGCGCTGGGTCGAGCACGACTACGTAGCATGGCGACCGGTTCCCGGTATGCCCGTCGAAAAAGACGATGACGATGACGATGAGGAGGAGGACGACGACGATGACGATGACGATGCTGATGATGACAGCGACAGCACATCAGAGGCGGAATCCGAGGACGAAGATGGCGTCGCAAACCCCGACGACCTTGACGACGGTAGTACGGAAGCTAGTCTATGATGAATCTCTTGTGCATTGCATTTACGGCGTATATTGGGAGCGGGAAAGCATCAAGAAGCAGCGATTTTCTGCTCGGCGCTGGCTGGTCATGGAACAAAAAGGGGGCATAGCTTGGGAGCGTCTCTTTTATGATTGACGGCCTGCTTCACATATGGCCTGGGTATCTTGGTTCGTTGATGTTTTTTTTCATGTATGACTGAGCGCTTTGATATTTGGGTCAGCTGGTTGATTTGTCTAGTAGAGGCACATTTACGTTTATATATACTCTAGAGAGAATGGAATGAAAAAATTTGATAATTGGAATTACTCAGTTTAGAGCTTTGCTTGTGGGTGACGGTGAGACTGGCGTTGTCATCACTGTCACGTCAACCTAGGGAGAAAGTGAACACTCTGGGGTCTACATCAATGTCAACACACCTACTTTGCATGCACTCATGTTAATGTAGTCTGCAGACCTGTTTAGTTTTTCCCTTGTATGAGGTGCTGTTTATATTTTGATCACGATGGAGTGGCAGGCTGAATATCTCTTCACGTTTTAATTGGAATGTATCCCTACTCTTGAAGCCGCGTGTAGTTGACTGTACCGCACAACCATCTATCTGATACCTAGCTCGCCGAGTGCGCTTTGCGGATGAGAACCTGACGCACGACTGAGTTGCTCATGAAGTAACCATCATGGTTCATGGTATGGTCTTCGTTATATACCAAGATGAACTGCGTTGCTTTGTTCACTTGGAGGTCGAGAATGCCCCACTGCTTGAGTAGATCCCAAGCCGGTTGAGAGTTGGTGGTCGTCTCACAAACCGGATCCTTGCAGAGAATTCTGAACATGGCATGCTTGCTCCACTGGCAGAAAGTGCATGTGACGGTCACCTTGCCCTCTTTCACCGCCGTCATCCAAGCTTTAGTCGTGTTCTGGATAAACACAGAGAGATCAGAAGTGTACTTCATCTGCTCGTGCTTGAACTCTTTCCACTCGCTGTTGCTCATATCGAAGTCTGGACAGTCGCAGTCGTCATCGTCGCTGTCTGGATCTAGACCCTGTTCCTCCTTATAAAATCGCCTGAAACAACTGTGACACATGTCGTCATCAACACTCTGTCCGAGTACGACGTTCTCAGGAACGAATTCGACTTGAAATGATGGGGAATGCGAGTGCAGGCGCAAGATACGCGTCAGATCAAACTTCGTCTTGTCATCGTGGCCATGGTCCCACAAGAACTGTACCAGCTTAGGCGCTTGCTTGGGTTCGTTCTCAGATGGTAGAAAGGTATCGAGGAAGTTCGCAAGATAGTAAGTCGACATGAACGCAACACGAAGATGCTGAACCCAAAGAGGACGATATTCTGCCCGGATCTGCGTGCAAACTTGAGTCAGAGCGAAGAACTTCCAGGTTCGCTCTGCATATGTTTTGCGCGAAGCATATGGGAGGTTCTGTCGAACAAGCTGTGGGGCGAAGCGGTTGGAGTCGTCCTCTTTGGCGTAGTCGTAGACTCTGTTCCTTAGCTCTATGTAGTATCAGCGCTTGATAGCCACTTCGAGATGCCATGCAAGAAGCCATACCTGGAGAAAGATCAAGGAAGCGGAAGTACTGCGGAGCTTCGCTTGCGGGCTCCTCGCTCTTCGCAGGCTTCGCATCGGTCTTGACCGAACGTTTCGCTTTCTTGGTGACTTTGGTGTCTACAGCTTCGCCGCTTGCGCGCTTGCAGCCGGATCGTCTGGAGTGAAGTCAGTATACAATCCCTTGGGTGCGCGACGAGTAGAAGAGAAGACTCACGTAGTGGGCGCCATCAGTCGTCTTGTAGCCAGTGGTGACGTTTACGACGCGGTAGAGTTGGTGTCGGAGTAAGTTGAGCAGTAGATGGTGGGAGTAAACAAGTAGAGAAGGCAAGAGCACCCAGCGTGTCCAACGAACCGCACTACTTTTCGGTACAATACAGTGTACGTTGTACGTTAGCCTATACGTACAGAAGTAACTACTAGCTTATATTATAACTATATAGAGTAATAGTAAAGAAGTTATAGTATAGCTAGGTATAGTATATAGCCTAGAGCTATTAGACTTTAGCTAAAGGTAGGCTAAGTAGACTAGAAATTACGCGTAAGGCTAAAAAAAGTCTATATAGATAATTATTTAGTATTATAGTTATTACTACTATTACTTATAGCTAATATAAAAAGTAAAAAAAGATATTTTAAGTTTATTTTAAACGTAAAAAAAAACCTATAGCACTCTAATCTAATCTTTATTAAGGCTATTTAACGCTAAGTAAGCTTAATTTAAAATAGCTTTACACTTATAAAATTAGATTAATAGAGATAGTAAAGTCTCTATTTATAGTAATAGGCGTAACTACTATACTATAGAGAGTTTATAGAATAATAGAGTATAGCCTAAATCTTTAATATATATTTTAAAGTAGTAATAGTGTATATATTCTAAGATTATAAGGCTATTATAAGGCTAATATCTAGCTTACTATAGTATTATAAGTTAATTATAGTAGAATTTTATTAATTACTATAGTAATATATTATAACCTTAAAAGCTCTAAGAGCTTAAAACTTTAATACTCTCTATAAGCTTAGAGACAGCGCTATTATTTAAAATTCTTACTCTTTTTAGCTATATATTAATAGAGTTAATAAGATTATTAGCCTAAAAAAGTATATAGAGATTGTAAGACGTTTAAGGTAAGTAGCTAAGAGGTAGCTAAGTTTAGATAATAGTATAAAAAGTAGTAATAATAGCTATATCTTATTAGTATTCTTTATATAATACTATATTATAATATAATATAATAAGAAAATTTACTAGCGCTACTTTCTCTACTCTCTTAACTTCTATAGCCTATATAGTATACTACGCTACTACTACTTACTATCTTTTTACGCTACTAGAATTACTAGCTCTATTACTTTAGGTAATACTAATATCTTTAAGTATCTCTTTATAAGTATTTAAAGCTTTAAAAGTAGAAGATAAAGCTAGAGATAGTAATAACTTTATTATAAACTTTAGTTACGTCTACTATAATAATAAGCGTCTTAAGCTATATAGACTTAGCTACACTATATTATATAAGAGCTAGCTTACTAGTAATTATAAGGCCTTCTTAATTTAGCGTTATAGCGTTAGAATTAGCTATAATAGTCTAAGTAGAAAGAAGAAGTTATTCTAGTTATATAAGCGCTACTATCTTAGCTTCTCTAATAACGCTCTTAAAGTAGTTAATAGCTATAACTATATTAAGAAGTATATAGCAAATAAGTACTATATTAATATTAATATAAGTCTATTACTAGAGGCTAATAAGCTACTATATAGCTCTCTATTTACTACTGCAAAGGTTACTAGTTTAAATAGGTTAGTATTGCACACGCTATAGAAGAAGAAGAAGCTATAGGCTACGCTTATTAACTAAGTAATACTATAGAATATTAGCTTTAATATTATAACTTTAATAGAGCTATAAGAGCTACTTACTTAGAATTATACTAGTCTTCTTAAGGCGCTACTAGTAGTAAAGTTAATAATTACTAGCTATATATAATTAACCTACACGCGTTAGATAAGTAAGATTAAGGCGCTATTATAGATAGTAAGTAGCTAAATTAGTATAAGTATTAACGTATAGATATTAAGTAATTATCTAAGTTTTCTTAGAGTAGTAGCGCATTTCTTAGATAAGATTCTTAGCACTTATAACTTATTATAATAACTAGCTAACTATTTAGACTCTTAATATAAGCAGCGTAATATTTTAATTATATTTTATAACCTCTATAGTAATTACACTAGTACTACGTAAGCTACTATTATACTTAGCATTCTTAATAAGTTTATAGTTACGCTGTAATTACAGGCTTTTATTAGTAATAACGCCTCTAATAATAATAGTAAGCTTATTAAAGGCCTTAACTAGCACTCTAATATCTACCTCTTTTTAAGTAATTATATACGCTGCGCTAGCTATATTATAAATCTTATTATTAAGGTAATACTATATAGTAAAAGTATTAACTAGTTTAAGAATAACCTTATAGAGGCGTCTATAATATAATAATATAAGCTTTTTTAATTATAAGACGTTATTAGTAAGCTCTATAACTTTATAAACGTAGTCTACGCGTTTTATAAGTATTATAAGCTCTTTCTATTAGTATAAAAAAAATTACTTAATAATAATAACGCTCTATATACCTATAACACGCTCTAGCTACGCTAGAATAAAGGCGTCTACTAGTACTTAGTATATTATATACTTCTCTACTACCTAGAGCTTTAGAATAGTATATAGCGCTTTATAATAAGGTTATAAAACTTATTATAATAGCTTAATAACGCCTATAACCTACTTACTAACGCACTTACTAAGAAGAAGTAGAAGGCTATATAGTAGCTTATTAACTTTCTATAGCTACTTATTAAGATAATAAAGTGTCTTAAGAGTAGTAATAGCGTCTCTAGATTTAGATTACTATAGTAGACCTTAATAAACCTATAGACTTTATAAAATTACTATATAATAGAGAGCGCCTACCTTAATTACTCTAATAATAGTAGTAGCGCGTACTTTGCTACTACTATTATATATAGTAAGTAAAAGCTTAATAACTACTTTAATAGGCTTATTATTAGCCTAGATATTAGCTACTATTATATTATAATAGCTCTCTACTCTACTTTACGCCTTACTTAGTTTTAGACTTAATAGAAGCTATATTCTAACTAGGTAAAAGCTATAGAGGCCTTTATTAAGAAAGTTTATAGTAAGTATTTAGTAGTAGAGCTAAATAATAAGAAGCTAGAGCTGCTGCTACTACTACGCTGTAAGGCACTTAATAGTAATAATAATAACCTATATAGTTAGATAATAGTAGTAGATATATACTACTTTACTAGTAATAAAACGCGTAAGTACTAGAAGCGTAGTACCTAGCTTAAGAAGTACTTTAATAACCTTTATAATAATATACTTATATAGTTAAATGCGTAATATAAGCTTCTCTATAACTTATAGTACTAGTAGCTTTAAGTTAGCTATAATAAGTACCTAATTATATTCTAGATAGCTACTAATATTCTCTCTATCTCTACTACTAGCTATAAGTATAAGTGCTGCTTTTTAACTACTAAATAAATAATTACTAATAATTATAACTACCTTAGAGCGTTTATAATAGAGGCTCTATAACTCTAAAAAAACTAGCTACGTAATAATATTATTAAGAGTAAGCTTTTATAGCTAGATTACTATATTAAGAGCTTAAAGGTAAGTAGTAATAGTAATAGTAAAGCTATAAGTAGTAGTAGTAATAGTAGAGATTATAGTAATAACCTAAGTTAAGATTGCTATCTCTAGAGCTTCTATAGTATTAACTATAGCTTTAATTTACTACTCTATAGTAATAAGTTACCTAATTAAGTATATATTTAATATATAAGTAGCTTAAGTAACTATACTATAGTCTCTAGCTATATTATATTTACTACTATATATATAATACTAATAATTAAGCTATATGTAGCGCACAATAGCCTTAAAAGTACTATACTACGGTTCGTTAGACACGCTAAGAGCACCCGCTAAGAGCCGCTAGTGGAATGACGCAGGTCTATACGCAGTGACATGTTCCACAACCACCTCATACATATGAAAACTGAACAACTGCCTCCTAGAAGTCTACATTACCCCGAAGAATATGTAAACTTCGGCCCTTATACTAATGTAGACGTACTACATTGCTGATTTATTGAGTGAAAAGGGCAGGGTATAGCCCTCTATTGTGTATTATACTGCGTCACTACTACTGCGTTGTGGGATCTGCTCCGGCATCGACTCCATTCATCCATCAGGAATACTAATGTAGACGGCACAGTACCTGTTCAGTTTTTCCTTGTACGAGATGCAACATTCCGCCTGAGTAAGACATCCATGGATAGGCAGGAGCACGTGGCCCTTTCACCTTGGTTCTCCCAGAACGATGAATGAGACAGAAGTGAATCGCGCTCTGCTTGCTCAACATGCGCCTGCGACAGCTCGCTCTCGTCCGCTCGACAAGCATACCTGCGACGACCAGCTACTCAACACCCTTGCATACAGAACGTGGATATTAGACATACTAAAGTTGAAGTAATGAAGATGTGATTTTTGTATGTTATACTATCTACATGGCGTTTATCTGCCCTGGCCCTTGGACTTTCCACCGAAGCCAGGACCACGCTTAGCTCCGCGACCCTTAGCGAGCTTGACGGTGAACGCACCACGCTCGATGGTGTTGACCAGGATGTATCCAGAGGGGAACAAGAAGTGAGACCAAGTACCAACGAACTGAACGATACCGCCAACAGAGTCATCCTCGGGGTAGATGTCGAAGAAGCCCTCGGTCTTGACGCCCTTACCGGTAGGGTCCTTGCTAATGCTGCGGACATCGTGTACCCAGATACCGGCACCGTAGTTGCTCTGGTAGGCGAGGCCGTCGACGATGTAGAGGTTGTGGTCGATGCCCTTGCTGTCGGTGGCGTAGAAAGTACCGGTGGCCTTGGGGTTGCGGAGGTCGGTGAGGTCGATGATGTGGGTGACGGGGCGGCCGGACGCAGCGGGACCGACAGCTTCCTGCTCATCGAGCTCGTCGTTCAGGAGGACGTACTGGTGCCAGTTGCGCTCAGTCCACCATCCTTGATGGCAGTAGGTGGCACCGGGGTAAGAGAGGGTGGAGATGACCTCAGAGGCGGGGTTTCCGTTCTTCATAGTGGAGTCGTAGACGGTCATGGTGTCCTCGTTGTA